TATATATATGTATGTGTGTGTGTGTGTGTGTGTGTGTGTGTGTACAGCATATATTGCCTGTGTTGGGTTCTATCAGCAGTAACATCTGAAGGTTCAACTTGCCACTTGATATGAACTCGAGACTTTGGATGAGGCCAATAAACTTGCTGTTAAAATTAATTAAATTAATTAAACCTCTGGGAACAGCATATGGAAAAGAACTACAAGCCCCTGGAAGTCGTCTTCCAGGTTCAGGTCATTTCCAGTTTCACCACCACAACAATCCAGTTTTCCAGTTTTCAATTGCTACAAACAAGTCTCAACCTGAACCCATGGAGCTTGGAAGGACCCTCATCTCTCCAGAGGAGAGAAAGAGATGAATGCAAGTAAAGGAGTCTATTTATTGTGGAAGACTGGGACATTCCAACACTGCTTGCCCAGCACTGTCAGAAGCCAAAGATCACCAGTAGTTCAGAAGAGATTGGTGGGCAAAGATTCTTGTTCTCCTTGATTGAGATTAACATTGTGAACTACAGTACACTACATGTGAACCATGTAGTTCACCCCATTCTAGACGACGGATTTTGGAACTGAGTAGAATCTCATTAGCCATGAACAACATCTTCACATTTCTACAATCCCTCTGCATCAGCCATTGTTTCTTCGTGGCTCTCACTGGCCAAACCATCACAACATCCACAGGACTGAAAGGGTGCACTTAGTTATTTCTAGCAGCTATCATGAATGGAGTAAGTTTTATGTTTTTTCTGCTCCCGTATGGCCTTAGGATTTACCTGGTTTCTAAGACATAACCTGGTAATAAATTGGGTTGAGAAACAAATAGAAAGTTTGAGGACAGATTGTTTGGCTAAGTGTCTTCAAGTGCTTGTCTCCCTCCAGAACAGGACCATCTCTTCTGATAAACCAGATTTGTCCAGAGTTCCCACCATTTATCATGACCTGGCTTAGCATTCAGTAAAGAGAAAGCTCTTTATCATCACACGGACCATACAATTTTGCTATTAATTTGCTTCCTGGAGCTCCCCTACCTTTGAGCAGACTTTGAGCAGCAATGTTCTACAGACTGCTGAAGGAAGTCTACCTACAGACTGCATGGTGGGGGTCATGGCATGGGGACAATGAACACATCATCTGCAAGGCCTAGAAGGATGAGCCTGATCTAGGTACTGGTCCACACAGGAAAATCTATTTGTTCTCGAAGCAATTAAAGGACAGGTGTTACCGTGGGTTCATGATTTAAAGATGACATGTCACCCTGGCACTAACCACATGTTCACTCAGGCATTTCTGGTGGCCTATGATGCTCCATACATCAAAAAATTGGCTACTGCTTGCTCCATTTGTGCCCAAATAAGACTAGTAATCATCCGCATACTGTTTTTTTGCTAGCTTTACCCATACCAAGCTGTCCCTGCTAACAAATTGCTAATGACTTCATCACTGGTCTCCCTTCTTCTGAAGATTACACTGTTATTTTCATGATCATTGAAAGATTTTTTTTTTAAAGCAGCCCACTTCATCCTTCGCCATAGTTTACCCACTCTTAGAACCGTTGATTACTGTTTTTTTTTTTCTTTTTTTGAGCACATCTCGAGAAAAGACACCAATCCCTAAGATCCCTTATCCTTGAGGAGGAAGTGCTGTGAGGATTTCAGTTCCTACGTCTGCCACTACTCACCTTCTTGCTACTCATGTGATACAGGTGTGCTGATCACTAGCAGTTGATGCTGAGGTCTTGATGAGCTGGGACTGCATTTAAGCAGAGGACCTGCCACAACCGCATTGTATTGCCTTGGTGATTTTCAGCTTCGAGCCACTGAGAAATGTTTTAACTTGTATTTTAACAATTTTCTCGTTTTTTGCAGATACCTTTGAGAACTTTCCTAAGCCTTGAGCCTGCCCTTACCTCTGTTGTTTCCTTGTGCACTCCTGGAATGACACATTCACTCCTCACCTCCTAAAATAAGTATTTGGGTGTTACTGGCCTCTGTATCCATCTCTGGTCCCACATATCATTCTCCAACACATGTACACTTATCTCCTGGAGTCTCTCGCTGCCTACTAGAACTAAAATCCTCCAACCTCTCCCAGACCTGTGAAGAAACATCAAATAGTGATCATATAGTAATAGTAATAGTAGCCATTACCTTCTGTCAAACCACCTTGTAAAGAATATTTCTTGATAGCCAGATACTCACCTAATCCCTTGCCTTACAGATTCTCCTGGCCCTGCTCTCTGTTGTCATTTATCAATAAAAACACTTACAGTTTTGTCCTGTGTCTGTCTTTTCAGTCCCTGGAATAAGAAACTGGTTTAAACTCAAGCCAGACTTGGCAAAAACTAAATTTTTGTTGCATAAAAAGGGCTCGATTGACATTGACATCTTGTCCTCTTTGCTTACCTTTGTGTTTTTGCTTTTATTGGAAATAGTTCTTCACCAATTTTTCCCTCTTCTTCTCTCTCTTCATATTCCAAAAATATTTCAACAGGTTATGGAAACATAGCTCCAAGCACAGAAGGCGGGAAAATCTTTTGCATTCTTTATGCCATATTTGGCATTCCTCTCTTTGGCTTTTTGTTGGCGGGCATTGGAGACCAGCTGGGGACCATCTTTGTGAAAAGCATCTTACGAGTTGAGAAGATATTCAGGGTGAGTAGCAAGTTTTTGATTGGAAGAGTTTATTTTTAATTTCTATTGTCTTTTAGGTCATATTGCTATTCCAAGGGTGTGAAAGAGTGTGTAAAACACAGAAGTATTATCCTTTTATTACCAAATTTTTAATATTTTGTTTTTAAAATGTTTGATTTTCCCTGATGTCCACTTAAGTTGGCAGAGCTTTATGAAATAATGTATTTTGCTGCTCATGTGGTCACCTTTCGATCTATTTTAATTGTTGCATTCTAAAAGTCTCTTTTTTGATTGTCTCAGCAAAAACACAAACAAATCAGCCAGACAAAAATAAGGGTGACATCCGTCATCCTGTTCATCCTGGCTGGCTGCATCGTTTTCGTCACCATCCCTGCTGTTATCTTCAAATACATAGAAAGCTGGACCACACTGGATGCAATCTACTTTGTTGTGATCACACTCACTACGGTGGGGATAGGAGATTATGTGGCAGGTATACATTTCCAGCAAAAGTTGTCATTATGTACTGTTTTGTTTAGATAGCATGAGTTGTAACTTCGGAGCACACATATTTTTTTCTTTTCTCACCAGGTGACAATCGGACCATTGAGTATATGAGCTGGTACAAGCCCATGGTATGGTTCTGGATCCTGGTAGGGTTAGCATACTTTGCCGCTGTCCTCAGCATGATTGGAGACTGGCTTCGAGTGCTCTCAAAAAAGACCAAAGAAGAGGTAGGGTTTGATCACATACTTATATATGAGTGATATATATTAAAAGATTAGAATAACTTATGACCCGTTTTTTAATAGTTGTTATTATGTTTGATATTACATAGTTTTCACAAGTAAATCTTTTGCCGTAGTGCCGATAGGAACCACAGGTTTACCAAATGAGTAGTAATTATATTTCTACAAAGGTTATGATATTATTTTTCAAATAAAGCAGTAATAATTTAGCATATTTTAAAAACAAATTTTGATTATGGAAAATATCTACTTAGGCCAATTTTTTGAAAAGCAAAAATTCCAAAAATAATGTACCGGCACAAAGCCATAACAAATGTGTTTGGAAATATAATAATATAAAAACAAATGTTTCCTTGGTAAAAGTTCTGCGGTTGAGTTTACCTTTACTAGACCCTCCTACATCAAAAATAAAATTTTGCAGCTTTTTCTGCAAGGTGACATTCCATGTCCCTAAAGCCAATTTATGAAGATGCAAATCATCTTACCTAGCTCCCAACCTGGCCAGCCATTTTGTACCCAACCTCATTTTGTACCCAACCTCAGCTATTCTCAGATGGGGTGAGTTAGTAAACTGGCATGCTGTAGCTTTTTAAAATTGGGCCTTGCCAAGCCCTAAAAGCTAAGAGTCTACCAAAAGGCAAATCCAATTAGGGGTTGAAAAGACTTGTTTACCCGAGGTGTTGCTTCATCAAGATCTTGTCCTTAGTCTGACTCCTCCCCTTAGACCACTTTTCCAGGTTAGGCCCTAACATTGCCAAGCAACATCAGTGTACTAAAACTATTCCATCACATTAACCCTATTGCTGCCCTTGGGTCAAAACTGAGGCCTTGTGGGTAATTTTGTTTTAAAACTGGGGCCTCTTAGATCATTTTGACCCAGGGGCAGTAGGAGGGTTTAAGTAGCATTTTTAATGAAGGGGAATACTCACTTCAAGTTGGAGGTGAGTATGTACATAAAGTAGAGGAGTTTAAATATCTTGTGGTCTTGTGCATGAGTGATGGCAGAGTAGAATGAGAGATGAATAGATGGATTGGGGTTTAATTAGCAGTAATGAGAGCACAGTTTCAATCCATGATGGTGAAGAAGAAGCTGAGTCAACAGCCAAAGATCTTGCTTTACTGGTCTATGGTTATGACCATGTCCAAGAGTGTTCAGTCATGAAAAAATAACGTCTTGGATATAAGTGGCTGGAATGACCTTTTTTTTAAATTTTTATTTACATTCCTAAACTTTAGTGATATGGTGAGGATCTCTGACATCCAAATAGAGCTCAGAGTAGAACTACAGCTTCTCCTCATTGAAGGAATTAGATGAGGTGTTTTGGACATCCAATCATGATGCTTAGAGGCTGCCTATTTTCTAGGTTCTTTGGGTACATTCCACTGGGGAGAGACCTAACTCAAGGATGAATGGCTTTTTCTTATAGCACAAAAACTAGGCAGTCAAATAGCATGGAGGAATGCTAATGGCAAAAAAAATAAACTGACCAAAATTAACGCTATTTCTCAATTTCAGAACATTTAGTCGGATTTAAATTTGTTTGATTAATGTAGAATTTACTTAATTTATTGTGAGAGTGTACTGTACCAATACAGTACTTCTTTGAACCATGTCCTGACTTTATTTCAAATCATAGATATCATCTGTACATTACCACACACTTGTTTCTAACCCTTTCTGGTCTTATTGTGATGACACTTTTGTTTTAGGTTGGTGAGTTTAAAGCTCATGCAGCTGAGTGGAAGGCAAATGTACGAGCAGAGTTCCGTGAAACACGAAGACGTTTGAGTGTGGAGATTCACGACAAGCTCCAGCGGGCCGCCACCATCCGCAGCATGGAACGACGTCAGCTGGGCATCGAGCAACGAGCCCACTCACTTGACATGCTGTCACCAGAGAAACGAGCCATGTTTGCTAGCCTGGATGCTGGCCGATTCAAGACTTCTTCCCAAGAAAGTATTGACACCAAGCTCAATAACTTGAGGCTGAAAGGAGCTTGTGAGTCATATGACCAACAGGGCAGTGAACAACAACCACAAACAGCATCTTCCTCAGAGGAAAATCTCTTCAACTTACGCTTTGGATCTCTTACCAAGCTGGCCAGACGCAATAAGAACCGTGACCTGCGCAGGAACATTCCTGAAGATGCTCGACATTCAAGTGTGGGTATCAGCAATGGCAGTTCCCTACTGGGTGCAGAGAGGACGGAGGAAGAGGATGGGGAACCAGGGGAGGACAACAAAGAACAGAAAGAGGAAAACATCAGTCTGACAGATCTGTCACAGTATGCAGTGGAGCGCAGCAAATTGAATGGGTTCATACCAACACAGGCCAAGGACAAAGATAACATTTAGGTGTCAAATGCATGAACACTTCAGTTGCAAAAACTGCAGAGACCAGAATAATTCTCTGACTGACTCACACGGACAGTGCACAGTCCTTTTGAGATGTCAAGAAATGTGCCTTTTTAGTTTCCTCCTATGCTTAGACTGGAACTTCTCCCAAGACATTCAGTCATCGTGCCATAGCAAAGGAAAGAACAAAATATGTTGCCAAAAAATGAACAACACTGAACATACAGAAGAGACTGTTGTTTGATTACCTCATTACATCTATTGCTGTAAAATGGGCTACCTGTGATGTATACTGAAGCTGTCATTCTCAGCTCTGTTGTCTTTCTGCCCTCGGGGCTCTTGGGCGATGACCATCTGTTCTTGCTGAATCTTATTTTTTCACAATGTGGGCGCGCCAGTCAGCAAGCTGGACTCATGTCATTTGTCTTCAGAGACATTATTGATCATTTTGTCATCTCATCTGTGGTGGCTGTTTACAGCTTATCCGTGTCTGCTACTAAAGGACTTCAACATTAAAAGACTGCAGGGTTGATGGTTTTGTTCAGGCTGGATCAATAAACAACGCTAGTAGTTACCTAGAAGACATGTACAATAATTCCTACATTGTATGTGGCTTTGCATATGTAGCTTGACAGATAACAACCTACTGCATACTAAGATCTTGTGGGGGGAAAAATATGTAGTGCATGGTTATCAAAAAAAACCCAACAACCATAGCAGTTAACTGACAATAGCTTAAAAACTCCCTGCTGTCTTAATGATCTTCCTAAAGAAAAGAATAATGTTTGACTTTCACTCCTAGTTTTTGCTCATTCACAGTAAAAAAAGAAAAAAGTTGTATATGTCATGAATAATTGTGGATCAACACTAGCACACAAACAGTACCGACATACTAAGGTTCTCAGTAACGCTGTGAACATTTTTTAGTCTTTCATTCACATCACAAACTGTTCATTTGAATTACTGAATGTGATACTATTGATTTTATACTCACTGAGTATACTTTTCCGTTTACTTCTTTTTGTATCAGACAGCCACCTGTGTCGTATGTATTTTCCATTAAACTGTAAAATATAAACAAGATATGTCATGATTATTTTGTGTTTCTTTTTGAATGCTCTTTGATGTAACGGATATAAAAAACATGGGTTCTGCAGCATATGGAGTATATACTGTATATATATATATATTTACTAAACCTAGGCCAACTTACAATTTTAGTTTTATTTTCTTAAGTTCAGACATTATTCATTCCCAGTTTATTATATAACAAGTGCTTATAATTTCTAGTTAATAGATGAAAAACAAACCATAAAATTTTGTTATAGACACACATCAGAGGCAATGAGGAGTTCAGTGTTTTACCCAGGGACACTTCAGCATGCGGCTGGTGGTGGAAACTATTTATCTACTTTCAGTAGGATGAATAAGTATTTCACATTTAGTAATATTAGCTTAAATGCACATGGTATCTGTTGCATACACCTCTCATCACCACAGCTTCATAGTCAAGGTATCAAATCAAGGTCAAACGTTATACAAGGTCTTTGCTTGTCTCAGCCACTGCTATAGATTGCTGTAATATGAATAATAGTTTGTCCAGGGGCATAAAATGTTCCATATGTTTCACTCTTACGTTTATTTATTACTTTTATAAAATATGAGTAGATGTATAAGTGTTAAAAGATGACTGAAAACCAATGTGATATACTTTGTAAAACTTTAGAAAATATCTGTGGAATCCCCACAGATTGGTCTGAATTGACTTTTGGGGCCCCCGGACAGACACCATTTGGACCTGCAGCCTCACCCAGGTCCCCCCTCAGCTTATGGCTGAAAACAGAGAGACAGGAAGGAGAAGGAGGAGGAGAGGAGGCCTCAGTATCTTATGATGGTGATGTTGAGTTAAGTTCCCTGTGGTGCTGAGTAAGATTTTAAAGTTGTGCCAGGAAGCTGTGGATTCAGGGAGGCTGTGAGGCGTGGGTATGTGCAGGAGATGAGCATCAAGTGTTTCGTTTGCAAAATACTTTCAGCTCCTGAATAATTCAGATTTTATCAGTCTTGTCACTCTTCTCCTTGAACCCTCTTATCTTTTCACAGGACAGACTAAACTTTGCTCTTTTGTTTTAGTTTGCTGGTGTTGGGAAGATTTATTATTTATTTCCCAAAGATCCAGTCCCCTGGCACAAACAGAGTAATATTGTGTATACTGTTCAGTGTCAGGAGGGCTGTGATCAGTCTTACATCGGGGAAACTAAACAGCCACTGGCCAAAAGGATGGACCAGCACAGAAGAGCAACTCCATCAGGCCAGGACTCTGTGGTCTACACTCATCTCCAGGCCAGCGGTCACTCTTTCAGGGATGAAGATGTGCACATCCTGGATAGAGAGGAACGATGGTTTGAGAGAGGAGTAAAGGAGGCCATCTTTGTGAAAATAAACCGTCCACCATTAAACAGGGGTGGAGGCCTCCGTGTTCAACTGCCCCCCTCTTACAATGCTGTGATTGCTAGTATCACTCAGACCTTTGTGAATAGCAAACAGTGCACTAACAACCAATTATTAGGTTGATGATCCTCTTTAATCATGTGAACAGCTAGTTCTGGATGTCAAAAACAATCTGGTTGATCCCCTATGAGAAGGTGCTATTTATAATACTGAGTTTGTTGCAGCTCCTCAGACTGAAGAAGTCTTTTGGATAAAAGATGAAATGTTTCAACAAAGAAGAATCCATCCAGAGGACCTGATTTAACCTGGTTAGTTTTTTTAATTTGATTTTATTTATTTATTTATTTATAAAGAATCAGCATTACAGGAAAAAAAACCTATTGAAGTAGATTTGTCTAAGATGTCTCTTTCTTTTTGTTCCTTTCCACTTCAGTAATCTGACTATTAAGCTGCAGGACATGAAGCAATGCTGCATGCTCCATTGATTGTAACTGAAAACATGAGCTTTAGATGATGACACCATGGAAACTAACTAGCCTATTACACAGGTGCAGCTCTTTTATCGTGTTTTATGAAAGGAAGCACACAAACCAAAAGAAGAAGAAGAAGAAGAAGAAAAAACTGAGTTCCTGAACAATAAGCCTCGTATGTTTTCTGGTTAACAAATGGAGGTGCTACATTTTTTTTGCTGTTTATATTATAACACATATTCTAAGCTATTTCCACGTCAAATTCTTGATCAGTATCTATAAAACTGACTGAGACATTTATTTGTGTTTGCTATATGTTCAGTGATTAGTTTTTGTAAGTTTCATTTAATTCCATCTACGGTAGTTATTCATAACATATTTTGCTAACAGTCAACATTTGGAGTATGATTTGCAGATGAGTCTCAGCTACTACCACACCAGATTTTAGCTATCTGTAGAAAATCACCTGGTTAAAGTCATTTTTGTGTTTGCAGAGTTGATTAGACATCTCATTGATTGAAAACACCTGACTCTAATTTCACCATCAAACTAACTGCTAATCCTAGAGGTGCACATACTTTTGACACTTACAAATATGTAATATTGGATCATTTTTCTGGGCAGCATGGTGGCACAGTTGGTAGAGCTGCTGCCTCTCAGCGAATAAGTTACCCTGTTTCAAATTCGGATCCGGGGGCTTTTCTGGGTGGAGTGTGCATGTTCTCTGATATATAATATAATATAATATAATATAAAATAATATAATATAATATAATATAATATAATATAATATAATGTAATGTAATGTAATGTAATGTAATGTAATGTAATGTAATGTAATGTAATATAATATTATATTATATACAATAGTCATTATTCTAGAATTGCGCCGCTCAAGGTGGCTGCATGTTGGAGTAGCTCTGTTACTTTCATTCTGATATATTACCTTGAAAACTTTAATTCCTATTTTTTCTGGATATAAATCGCTTTTTTGGATGATCATGTCCTCTGGTGTTGGATGTTCTGCAGCTGGAAGAATTTTTATAAAAATATCTTTGCTTTTGGACATTTGTTATGATGCGTAACCATAACAACAAGGTTGTTTTTACAACCCAGAGCAGCTGATTAACATCTCCAAAGCTCAAACTATATCAGAATCAGAATAAGCTTTATTATCATTGCACCGAGATACAACGAGAACATGTACATGCAGTCGTCCGGAAGATAGACGGAGAGTGATTGAAGCTGCTGCTGCTCTAAGCGTGGCCTTCTTATCCTTATCAGAATAATAATCTTAGATCTGTCTGTCTGTCTGTCTGTCTGTCTGTCTGTCTGTCTGTCTGTCTGTCTGTCTGTCTGTCTGTCTGTCTGTCTGTCTGTCTGTCTGTCTGTCTGTCTGTCTGTCTGTCTGTCTGTCTATCTATCTATCTATCTATCTATCTATCTATCTATCTATCTATCTATCTATCT